CGACATCTAGTACGAAAAAAAGAGACCTGCTCGGAACGCTAATTGCAGCGGCAGTACCAGCGAATGTTACTGACGAGAATCATTCTACGCCAAATGAAGGAACGGCCGCTTTGTTTAATAAAAGATCATTGAACGAGATCAGTAATGACAACCAATCGCGGTCAACTACGCGACTTGACTCCACGACAAAACCAGAACTAGAAACACTGAAGTGGAAAGTTCAGCACGTTGGTGCTACAAAAATTGGGTTAACAAAAATTAAATTTGCCAAGCCCTGCAGCAGTAGTGATGATGATTCAGATGTGATTTCTTCAGGTTCAGGCGACATTTTTGAACCATCAACCAGTGGTGATTCTTCAAGCAGTGAGGATTCACCCTATTCTTCTACAGAGATTTCTAATAATGAAATTTCCGTTGCGCGAGAGAGTGATATTGGTATCAGTGAACAATATCAAAACGTCAAAGGAAAGAAAGGATAAGAAATGTAAATGACTGACAGAAAGTGAAAGCTAAAATACTGAAGAACAGTGACAGTGGACATAGTTACAAATCTAGAACGGGAAAACAAGTTAAAGCTCGGAAGATGAGCCCTTCCCAGACAGCACAGGACATCCTCAGGACGTCCATATTAAGTTCTATATTGGTCCCAATGTTCCAAACCTAATTTGTATTTACAGGGGACGTTCTAATTTTTCCATCCAGGAGACGTTTTAATTTTTCCGTCCTGGGGATGTACAAATTAAAACCAAAAATTAAGAAATAATACAAATCATATAAAAAAGTATAATTATTTAAATCTGTATGTATATAGCCACCAAGAACCAAAAAATAAGTAATATTATCTCTATTATTACATTTTTTTAATTTAGCGCTATTTAGTTTTTTATTCATCAAATGCGCATGCGCGGATGCACATTCGCTACTTCTCCACCTGGGGGGCAACTTTTGGGAATGTACGTTTATTTGCGTATGCTTAAGATGCGCATGATATGAAACGTACACTTTTCTTTGTACCAATTTTTGGATGATATGCGCAAGTCAAAAGACGCCTTAAGTTAAGCATTCGCAACATTACGCATGGTTAATCAGGCAACACTGCAAATTGAGAGACTTTTGAACTATTCAGGGAAAAAATATAAATACTCGAGTAGATATAGGTAACCTTAGTTTACAAATGTGGTTGTGTAAACTGTCGGCTTTTAACAGTTACAAATTTATTATTTTGACAATTAGTGAAGCGTGAGTAGGGGTTGTCTATGAGCGTGAGAAATGTCGGAAAACAATAAGAAACGAGGTGCGAATGCATCAGATAAGCAAAAAAAATTGCTCGTGGAATATGTAAAAAAAAGCCGCAATTAATTAGCGGCAAACAAACGCAAAGCTATACAATGAAAGACGCTACGAATGATTGGGAAAATATTGCCAATATTTTAAAGAGCATTCCGGGGGCTAATAAAGACTGGAAGGGATGGCGTAAAGTAAGTATATTTTACAGTTAAAGACGGTAAATCTTAATAATCATGACGATTAATGTAGCCGTTTTTCACAAACACGATATCTCTTTTGTATTCACCAAATTATTAGTTTTCTTAGTCTTTATGGAAATTCATGTTTTTTTTATAATCGTGAGATTAACGCAATTAATTCTCGCAATAAATTGTTTCAGATGTGGCATGATCTTCGCAGCAGGACAAAATCAAAAGAAGCCAAGAATAGGATGGAGTACAGAGGTACTAGAGGAGGGCCGTTAAAAGAAGAAACATTAACAAATATAGAGGAAGAAGTTCTTTCTATAATAAAAAAAGTATCAATTATTGAGGGTCATGATGTACAAGAATGTTCGGTAGCCTTCAATTTTACTGATGTTGAAGAGAAAATAGAATTCGATGTGGACAGTTGTGATATAGTACGCGGACAACATAGCCAAGAAGTGCTTGTGTTAAGTGCAGTAGATTCTGCCAATATACTGGAAATGCCTGCAGTTTCCGCACATACAGCAGCTTCAGTCACCGCACATACATTAGCTTCTGCCATTCGGGCCATCTCGCCAATAGTGACTTCAGCCACCGTTCATGCACTAACTTCGTCATCTGTTTTTACCGGGGTTCCAGTTACAGGTCCTGCAACCTCAAGTGCCGATCATTTCACCAAAAACGGGAAAAACAACTAGAAAAAAATTACCAAAAAAGCTGGATAATTTGATAAATTCAGCTGTAGCAGCAACTTGTTTCGAAGAAAACTTAAATAATAAACTTGACATCAAAAAAGAATATTACAATAATAAATTGATTCATATGAAGAACATGGAAGCAAATTAAGAAAAATACTGGCACATACGGGATGTGCATTCGCCTAAAGAATCCTATTAGTCACTAATTCANTGATTGCAGCGGCAGTACCAGCGAATGTTACTGACGAGAATCATTCTACGCCAAATGAAGGAACGGCCGCTTTGTTTAATAAAAGATCATTGAACGAGATCAGTAATGACAACCAATCGCGGTCAACTACGCGACTTGACTCCACGACAAAACCAGAACTAGAAACACTGAAGTGGAAAGTTCAGCACGTTGGTGCTACAAAAATTGGGTTAACAAAAATTAAATTTGCCAAGCCCTGCAGCAGTAGTGATGATGATTCAGATGTGATTTCTTCAGGTTCAGGCGACATTTTTGAACCATCAACCAGTGGTGATTCTTCAAGCAGTGAGGATTCACCCTATTCTTCTACAGAGATTTCTAATAATGAAATTTCCGTTGCGCGAGAGAGTGATATTGGTATCAGTGAACAATATCAAAACGTCAAAGGAAAGAAAGGATAAGAAATGTAAATGACTGACAGAAAGTGAAAGCTAAAATACTGAAGAACAGTGACAGTGGACATAGTTACAAATCTAGAACGGGAAAACAAGTTAAAGCTCGGAAGATGAGCCCTTCCCAGACAGCACAGGACATCCTCAGGACGTCCATATTAAGTTCTATATTGGTCCCAATGTTCCAAACCTAATTTGTATTTACAGGGGACGTTCTAATTTTTCCATCCAGGAGACGTTTTAATTTTTCCGTCCTGGGGATGTACAAATTAAAACCAAAAATTAAGAAATAATACAAATCATATAAAAAAGTATAATTATTTAAATTTGTATGTATATAGCCACCAAGAACCAAAAAATAAGTAATATTATCTCTATTATTACATTTTTTTAATTTAGCGCTATTTAGTTTTTTAATTCATCAAATGCGCATGCGCGGATGCACATTCGCTACTTCTCCACCTGGGGGCCAACTTTTGGGAATGTACGCTTATTTGCGTATGCTTAAGATGCGCATGATATGAAGCGTACACTTTTCTTTGTATCAATTTTTTGATGATATGCGCAAGTCAAAAGACGTCTAAGTTAAGTATTCGCAACATTACGCATGGTTGATCAAGCAACACTGCAAATTGAGAGACTTTTGAACTATTCAGGGAAAAATATAAATACTTGAGTAGATATAACCTTAGTTTACAAATGTGGTTGTGTAAACTGTCGGCTTTTAACAGTTACAAATTTATTATTTTGACAATTAGTGAAGCGTGAGTAGGGGTTGTCTATGAGCGTGAGAAATGTCGGAAAACAATAAGAAACGAGGTGCGAATGCATCTGATAAGCAAAAAAAAATTGCTCGTGGAGTATGTAAAAAAAAGCCGCAATTAATTAACGGCAAACAAACGCAAAGCTATATAATGAAAGACGCCACGAATGATTGGGAAAATATTGCCAATATTTTAAACAGCATTCCGGGGGCTAATAAAGACTGGAAGGGATGGCGTAAAGTAAGTATATTTTACAGTTAAAGACGGTGAATCTTAATAATCATGACGATTAATGTAGCCGTTTTTTACAAACACGATATCTCTTTTGTATTCACCAAATTATTAGTATTCTTAGTCTTTATGGAAATTCATGTTTTTTTTATAATCGTCAGATTAACGCAATTAATTCTCGCAATAAATTGTTTCAGATGTGGCATGATCTTCGCAGCAGGACAAAATCAAAAGAAGCCAAGAATAGGATGGAGTAGAGGGGTACTGGAGGAGGGCAGTTAAAAGAAGAAACATTAACAAATATAGAGGAAGATGAAGATAGAGGAAGAAGTTCTTTCTATAATAAAAAAAGTATCAATTGGGGGTCATGATGTACAAAAATCTTCGGTAGCCTTCAATTTTACTGATGTTGAAGAGAAAATAGAATTCGATGTGAACAGTTATGATATAGTACGCGGACAACATAGCCAAGAAGTGCTTGTGTTAAGTGCAGTAGATTCTGCCAATATACTGGAAATGTCTGCAGTTTCCGCACATACAGCAGCTTCAGCCACCTCACATACATCAGCTTCTGCCATTCGGGCCATCTCGCCAATAGTGACTTCAGCCACCGTTCATGCACTAACTTCATCATCTGTTTTTACCGGGGTTCCAGTTACTTGTCCTGCAACCACGATGCCTCAAGTGCCGATCATTTCACCAAAGGCGGGAAAAACAACTAGAAAAAAAATTACCAAAAAAAACTGGATAATTTGATAAATTCAGCTGTAGCAGCAACTTGTTTCGAAGAAAACTTAAATAGTAAACTTGACATCAAAAAATAATATTACAAGAATAAATTGATTCATTTGAAGAACATGGAAGACTTACAATTAAGAAAAATACTGGCACATACGGGATGTGCATTCGCCTAAAGAATCCTATTAGTCACTAATTCATACAGCATTGGATTTTAGCCCTAAAGCCCTAGAATCAATCAGAAAAATTCTTAGAATATTAGTTAAATAAAGGATCGTTGTTTTTTAAAGTTAGTTAGTTAAAGTTAGTTTGTTAGTTCCCTTTTTATATGAAATAGACAAAAAACTGTTGTAGTACCTAGAACAGAATTTGTTTTTATGTATATGTGTTATTCAAAGTTATTAAAAGTTATTTTGCTTACATAATTTTTTATTTAAAGAAATAAAATACAATAATTAATTCTGTTGGCCCTGCTGTAAATGTCTCACAAGTCTCATCCTTGCTCTTCTGCCGTCTGTTAATTCAGGATTGATCCGTCTAACTACTTCTTCTTCTTTAATATGGTGATCTATTATGCCGATATCTAAATCTTCGCCTTCATTATCTGGGATGTGAGGACATTGTACTCAATACACATATTATGAAGAACCACACAGGCATTTATAATTCTACAGGCGATGTGGAGTACCCTGTCTTTTAATAAGCACCGGAACTTAGCTTTCAATACTCCATTGCAACACTCTATTTTTACCCGTGTATTTTTATTGACAGTGTTGTAATGGTATTGTGGAGTATTTGGTTCAACTTCACTAAAAGGAGTTAACAACCAAGTTCTCAGGGGATACCCTGAATCACCTATAATAAAAACTTCAAATATAATTATTGTCATGCCATGTTCAATAGTAACAAAACAAAATATTTCACTGGTGTTATTATACTACTTTTTTTGAAAACTAGTTTAAACATCATCGTCCTACCTAAGAGAAAGTAGTCTTCGTTGCCTGTTAAATAAATTTGTCGTAACAGAGTTTGCAGGTTTGATCGATTCCAATTAAATGCATCATTAGTGCTACCGGGATATTTGGCACTTGCATTTATAATTTTTAAATCTGCATCACAAACCAATAACACCTTTGTTAGCAAAAATGCATGCTCTTCTAATTAGTTATATTTCATAATGCTCTTACCAACTGAACATTTATAGAGTGATAATTTTTTCTATTAACATATATTTGTTCAGGAAATTCGGGGTCATCACTTTTTGGGGGCACAATTGCAACATGGGTGCAGTCTATGCATCCTATAACACCTGGAATGCCGTGCTCATCATAGAATTTGCAATAAAAATAATAATATCAATGTAGATCGAAACATAGGTACTCATATATTAGAATCTTGCCGTTGCTTAATTCTATTCAGTTCTTGAAAATTCCGGGGAAATTTCACCCATTCGTTGAGGAATTCCGGTTGTAATAACGCATCTGTAACTTCTTTTATACATTTGGAAACTTTGATTGGCACACGTCAAGATATTTATTGCTACCAACATCAGGTTGGTAGCTACCGCTGGCAAAAAATTTTAAAGCGACTAAAATCTACAACATTGTAGAAAGCTATTAATTTCAGGACTGAAGAGGCATTCATGTAGGTATATACGTTCGTAGTGATGTCTAAATCTGTTATCCGCAGCGCAGAATGGATATAAGGTTCCAAACATTCGATCAAATATAAAACAAGATCCTTTGTTAATCGAAACGATTTAATAAATTGTGCATAGTTCTATGAATGGATCTCTAGGGTTATGCTGGTTGTTTGGTCGATTTTGTTGCTCTGCCATATCCAAATTACGTATTGCAAGCACATTCATTAATCCTTCCATTTTTAATGATTTATAATTATCACAAGAAACCACAAGTTCACACACAAATACTGAACAATTAAGACAGATGAAAGAAAATAATAACAGTCGATATAACTTCAAATGTAGAGATCCCAGCGCATACGCAACTTGACATCGGCGACTGTCTTACCGCTCGCAGTGAAACGTATAAAAATGTGGGCATACGGAAAGACGCGAAGACTCAAAAATAGGATTTCGTACTCTTCGCATATTTACGGAGATTTTTTATAGTTACGAACGGTTAAAAATTGACCCCCGGAAGCCATTTTATTTTATCGTTGTGTTTAGTGTTGACTTACAACGTTGTATGAACTTAACTATTGTTTTGTGTTTTGTTGTACACACGTAAGTAAATACGAATAAAATAAGAACTTCATCTCGCCATCACATCTTACGTATCATGGCATTCATGAAAAAATATTACATGCGTGCCAAGAGACTTAAAGTTGCCGATTTCAATATATTGGTGGAATCGGCATTCTATTCTGAAGACATCGACTTTGAAGAGCATTATTATAATAATAGTGATTGCAGTAATGGTTTGTTACTTCTCCTCAATTTTACCGACTTTATCTCTACTAATAAAAAAGTTTGTAATGATGAACCGATATCTGTGGACACCGTGAAAATTTCTTGTTATTTAGTTGAAATGATTTCAGTGACTTAATATATTTGTAGAAAATACTATTTTAATAGAAATTAAAAATCAAAATCACATGATCCGAGGCATCTTGGTTGACGTTCTTCACGAAATAAGACAACTTAAAAATTCTTCTAGAGTCGTAGTTTCATTTTTTGTCAAATATCTCAATATTAATTTCCCAATTGGAAATGTGGATGAAGTGGATAGATTTGAAGAACTACAAAATCAACAAAATTTCAATGATGCGGTAACAATACCTAAATACAATGTCAATTTTATCATCCCCTTCCGATGCTAGATGATACGTGAAAAAAAAACAGTTCTTATAGTATTTTGGTGAATGGTAAATGAATTGGCAAGGTATGGGGTTTAAATCCTAAATAATTTTATTAAGAGGACGCTGTCGGCTACCTTACAGGACGAAATATTGGAAACATACAGTAAGTTGGGCAGAAAGGGGAAAAAACCTATGGAACAATCTCCCATCGCAATACTTTTAATTTATCAGTATTATACAGGATATCCCAGCTAAGTATTGCCTATATACTAATTAATTATTTTATTTTTTAATACATTATTTCATCATTATCAGGTGCTGCAAGTAAGTGCAATTTCAACCAGAAGGACGTGGAGAGGGCGATTCAGAGTTTCATAAAAAGAAGTAGCGAGAGAATATAATCAAAAGAAAATAAAAAATGTTATAAGGGAACAGAAGGCAAAACGTCCCCCGCAGGCAAAACGGTCCGACTCATTTTTTTACGAACTAGTAGTGACATCCGTCGGTAAGTCGCATAAGCAGATCTATCAGTACGTACACAAAACGGGACAGATGGTTACCGACCGTCAAAAGCTGTAAAGACGTCGCAGACAAGGCAAGTTGCTTTTCAGGTTTTTTTTAAATCTAAAATCGCGAATAATCACTTGTTCTGTACTTTTTTCTTGTAAATCGTGAATTAAACAGTGGTTGCATCTTATCATAGCCATGCATGCGTTACCAGGAAAACGTGTGAGCGCTTTTGTTTCTGTTGCCACAACCTCACACCGATTGTGTTTTCGTGCACCTGGCGCCAAGGCAAAACGGACCGGGCAAAACGGTCCACTTTGGACCATTCTGCCTGCGGGTGATCCGTTTTACCTTCATATGCATTTACTAAATATTTGTATTTCCTATTTTGTCGTAGATGGTTAGCAACTATAAACCCAAATCAGACCGACAAAAGTGGCTACCAACGTCAATGAAGAAGGCAATTGGAAAAGTTTTCACTGGAGTAATGGGTCCTAGGAGAGCTTCTGATGCATACAACGTCCCTAAAACTACGCTAAGACGAAAAGTTCAGTTGTATAGAAGAAACTAGGTCAATACTGTAGCGACAGAAAAAAAATGGGGAGATTTCACAGTATTTTCTCTGAACAACAGGAAGAAGAGCTGGCAACGTACGTAAAATCTATGGAATCGCGCTTCTTTGGACTCACAACCAAAGATCTGAGGTCTCTAGCATATGACCTTGCCGAGAAAAATAATGTACAACACAATTTCGATAGGAGTATAAAAATGGCAGGCAGATATTGGCTGAAAAATTTTTTAACACGAAATCCTGACCTTAGCATGCGCAAACCAGAAGCCACCTCAGCCGCTAGAGCGAGTGGCTTTAATAAAGTTGCTGTTGGGAAATTTTTCTCGCTGTTGTTAGAAATCATCGACACATATAAATTGACACCGGACAGGATTTTTAATGTAGACGAGACCGACATGACAACAGTGCCCAAGTCATTGCCAAAAATAATTGGTAGAAAAGGTAAAAAAGCAAATCGGCTTGCTGACATCGGCCGAGCGAGGCCAGTTAGTGATTGTTGTTTTTTGCTTAAGTGCTGAGGGATCCTATATACCACCACTTTTTGTGTTTCCACGTAAGCGGCTCAAACCTGAATTAATGAATAATGCTCCTCGAGGGTCATCAGCGAAATACCATGAGAGTGGTTGGATACAAAAAGACATTTTCAGCAAATGGTTCCAAAAGTTCATTACTTTCTCCAGAGCGTCCAAAATCACGCCAGTTTTACTTCTGTTAGATGGCCATTCTAGCCACACCAAAAATTTAGATGCGATTAATTTGGCCCGCGAAAATGGTGTGCATATTATTTCGTTCCCTCCGCACTGCACGCATCGGCTCCAGCCACTTGACGTGGGATTTATGAAACAGTTATCAACATATTATTCGGATGCCGCAAAGCAGTGGCTGAGAACAAATCCTGGAAGGATTATAACACAGTTCCAAATTGCTGAACTGGTTGCCAAAGCATTTGAAAAGTCAGATAAAAAGTTCCCAATCCATCGATTCAAGTTTCCACGAATTCCAAGATGTTCTAATTTATACATCAATCTTCTCACTGGTACCCTGTCAAACGCTTTGGAGAAGTCTAAATAGATTATATCGATTGGGTTATTCATGTCTAGAAATAGAGTCCAGTTATTTACACAGTGAAGTAAATTAGTCAGTGTCGATCTGCCAGGAACAAATCCATGTTGTTGCTTTGGTAGGATATTTTCGCGTAATAGGAACTCCATCATCGATTCAGCGATTACTGATTCCATAAATTTGCAAATAGTGGGAAGCAAACATATTGGGCGATAATTGCTGGGGTCTAGCTTATATCCTTTCTTTCTTATAGATGGGCGTGACAGATGCTAACTTCCAAACTAGTGGGACGTATTCTTTTGAAAATGATTCTGACATGATGAGAGAAAGTGACAAAGTAATATTATCGCCACATTGTTTAAAGAAGTATGGTGTTAAATTGTCTAGACCAGGAGAAGCAAACTTGCGAAGTTTAAATAAATGTTTCCTAATATGTATGTATATATTTTTTTGTCATATTTGAATTTCTTTTTGTTATTAATTAAACTTATAATGGAATGTGGCAACATGTAAAATTCTAGAGCATAGTAAGCAATAAATCGTTGGGACATTGATTTATGAACCAACGGCACTATTAAGAATTCATTCACGTTGTGCCTTGTGACAGACAGAAAGACATAATTTGATTATTTTTCGTAAGTAAT